TTGTCTAGTATGAAATAACTGTATTTATGTGGGTTTGTCTTTGTGTCTTCTGTAACATTGGTCTACATATCTGTTGTTTTTGTTACTGTGGCTCTGTAGTATAATTTTATGTCTGGTATTGTGATGCCTTCTGCTTCATCTTTTTCTTGCTAAGGATTGCTTTGGCTATTCTGTGTCTCTTATTTTTCCAAATGAGTTTGCCTTTTCTATTTCTATGAAGAATGCCGTTGTGATTTTAATGGGAATTGCATTAAATCTCTCCAGTGCTTTTGGTAGTATGGCCATTTTGGCAATGTTAATTCTGCCTATCCAAGAGTATGGGAGATCTTTCCATCTTCTTCAATTTCTTTCTTTAGTGTTCTATAGTTTTCATTTACAATGTGAATTTTTAACTTTACCTCTACTTGTCAAATATTATTATACCAATTTACATGTTAATATAAGAACCTATTTATTTTCATTTGTCCCTCCTCATTCTTTTTGTACTTGTTATCAACATTTTTCACACACATACACACACACATACACAATTAACCTCACAATACATAGCTATTACTTCTATTTTAAATAGTTATCTTTTTATAACATATTGAGTAAAGAAGTCTTCTATAGTCTTCTTGTATAGTACTCTTTATGCCTTTGTGTAGCCTGAGCTTCTCTTTGGTATCCTTCAGTGGAGCTCAGCTGGCTATAAATTCTCTTACCTGGTACTTGTCTTCAAATAGTCTTTATGTAATGCTCATTTATGAGGAGTATTTTCTCTGGGGTTAGAATTCTAGGTTGACAGTATTTTTTGCTTTCATCCTATTAAAGATATCTTTCCATTGTCTTCTGGCTATTATTTCTTTTGATGAGAAACCAATGATTACTCTTAACTTGTCTTTGTTTTCCTGTGAGTAAAGTGTCTTTTTGTTTGTTTTCTGGATACTTTCAAGATTTCCTTCTTATCATTGGTTTTGTTTTCATTATATTAATTTTGATGTGATTTTCTTTGGTTTTTTTCTCCTTGCCTAGGATTCATTGACCTTCTTGGATCTGTGAGTTAATTATTTTCTTCAAACTTGAAAAATGTGGTCATTTAAAAAAATAAGTACTATATTGTGGTTCTTTTGTGCTTTTAATCATATTACCTGAAATTTTCCTGTAGCTCACTGAAGCTTAGTTTTCTTCCAGTACTTCACTTTGGATAATTTCTGTTATTATGCCTTTCAATTCACTATTCATTTCTTATGCATTGTCTAATATGCTGTAAAACCTATTTATTGATTTTTTTCATTTTTCATTTTTTATTTTTATAAATTCCTTTGGTTCTTTTATTATTTTTTCATTTTTATCATCATTATGTTCATGATTATATTTTCCTTTGAATATGTTTATAATAGTATTTTTAAAACATTGTTTGCTATTTCATCTATGTAATTTCTGGGCTTGATTCTATTGATTTTTTTCCCCTGGCTTACAGCAACTTTTTCCTCCTTTCAAATATCAAGTGCTTTTTGACTGATGCTTGATTTCATGAATATTGCATTATTGTGAATGTCTGGATTTTTTGTCTTCCATTATAGTGCATTAAATCTTTTTTGGCAATCATGTTACTTCTGGATCAGCTTGACCCTTTCAGGCTTTGTGAGGGAGACCCTAGGGTGGCCTTTTCCATGTTAGCTTAACCCTATTACTTAGGTGTGACCTTCCCAGAGTATCTATTAAATGCTTCAGTGAATTCTTCCACTTTAGCGGTTAGAACTAGAACATCTCCCAGCTAGGTATAAACTCTAGTAATTATTTAGTTTATAGTCCCCCCCAGTCAATCCATTCTCATGGAGATTTATTTACCTTAGACATGTTTGGCTTAATATAAAGCTAAAACCAAAAGAGAATCCTACTTAGATTTTTATAGCTATGATTGCACAGCTCCTGATTCCTTGGTATTCTACCTAACAAAACAGCACTTTGCCTCTTCAAGCTATGGTTTCTGTCCCCTCAACTAAAAACAAAAAACAAAAACAAAAACAAAAAACCCCACCCTGCTCTGCTTATCTTTCTCCTTTTTGGACCAAGTCTGAGATTGTGTTCAGGCTGAAAACCAAGGGATCATGGGACTGTCTGCATTATTTCTCTTCTCTCACGAAGCACTGTCCTCCCTACATTATCTGTAGTTCAGTTTCCCAAATAGTTGTTTTATATACACGCATACACACACACATACACACACACACACACACACACACACACACATTTATTTATTTATTTATTTATTTATTTTAGTTTTCTAGTTGTTTATGATGGGAAGGCAAGTATAATATCAATTACTCCATCACAATTGGAAACAGATTTTTGTTGTGCTTTTACACTGTCTTTTGTTACTATTTTTGAGTGGAGCTCTATTATTGATGCTGCTGGTGATGAGAATCAATGAGGGCTGAGTTCCATTTCCCCAGATATGAAGTTTGAACACCTGAGAAGAGCCTTGAAAGGAAAGCGTAGAAAGCAAGTTTTATTTGAAGGATAGAACAGAGATAGACTTCTCCACAGAGAACGGGCAGAGAGCTGGGTATTGGAGGAAGTGGGGGTGTCCTGTCCCTTTTACACATTTTAGATTTTCTTTGTTCTCATGTTCTCCTCCTCCCTTTATCTTGTCTGCGTGACCAGATGCCAAAAGATAGGTGAGAAGAAAGCCTTCCAGGAGGTGCCTCTCTGGGGCTGCCCAAACAGGGCAGGAAAAAGGGCCGCCCAGGAGGTGCTTCATTAACAACCTTTTGGGAGGAACAGTTCTCTGGAAGCAGGTAACCTTGGCACCAGATTGGGGGGAGGAGGGGTAGGGCTCTGGCGGCAATAGCATTTCAGTTCTCCAGCGGCAGCCTCCATCTTCCCAGAGCCAAATCAGCGTCCATCTTCCTGATCCAATCCAATTATTTATTATCTACATTGACTGCCTTTTGCCCCCTAGCTTCATTATGACTATATTTGCCACAAGATTAGGTGTGTAGGTTGTCTTTATATCAGAATAAATTGTAGTGCTTTCCCCATTTACAAATACCTGTGCTCTATTCTCAAGAGTGTTTTTTTTTTTTTTTGGAA